GAGTCTGGATAGCTTGGACACATATCCCACTCGAGACAGCAGATCGCTGGTTCAAATCCGGCAAAACATGTTGGAAATATCGCGCAATGTAATGGGCGCAATATTCATGGAACGAAAGTAGAAGTTGACTAAAAGAGTGTCATGTTCGGATTACAGCTAAAAGTGTGGGAAGTGTGCGCTACAAGTACAAGTGTAAGCGACACAGAGCCTAAGCCACAGCATAAACGAGTGTGGCGCCATCTAGGCATAGAAAACCCCCAATAACCTCCTTGCGCCCACGCCATTCAGCCGCTCATATGTCCAATAGGTAGCCTGAAGCGCTACCACATTACCTGTTCCAACCTCTTAAATACACACGAGGTCGTGTCGGGAACCTAGACGAAATGGAGGGCCCATACGTCCACAACACTCCGTGTCTCCATTTCCAACAAAATACAACCACATTTCTCGCGGCGCTGGTATGCATGGATGACGGAGGCATGCTTGTATAGCCAAAGGTTATGAAAAGTCTCTTTGGTGGGTACTTACGGAGGAGGATCGACTGTTTGTGTAAGCGAACATACCTCATAGTGGTATTTGCAAATGAAATCCAGAGTATGAGTGTCTCTAACGTCAAAAGAGTCATGCAATATGTATACATAGCACCGGTCATGTGTCATAGCTAGATAGCTGAATACACATCAAATGATTTAAAAAAAAAACACCTAACATAGCAAATAAAAACCAGGACCTTGTTATCCTGCGCTCGAAGTTTGAATTTACATGAATATCGGCCTCCCGTTATCTCTCATTATTTACAGGTGTTGTTCAATGGAGAATATAAAGCAAAGAAATAAAATTAGTAAAGAGGGAAATTGGTTACATCACTTTAAAGCTCTCTAGCTTTTATTACATGATCAGCTATTAAATGCACGAACTCCCTCCGCTGAAGCAAGAGCCCAAGATATGGTGGAATTGAAGATCTGAGCCCTGTAGAGCTGTACCTGGTACTGCCCGAGGTGGCAATACAAAAAGTGGTCAGGGGACTTCTACTCTCCGCATGAGCAGATAAGGATGGCGTTTTCGTGCTGAAACCGTCGATGGTAGTCTGCAAAATCACCATTTCCAGATCGTGCAGCTAAAAGATATCCTAGTGTGCGTCGCCCTAGACGAGCGAGCTCAATGGTGATCTTAGTATTAGGACCAATACCTAATTTTTTGTATCTAGACGATGCGTTTTCGGCCCATTAGGGTGCAATAGAAGCCTCGTATTGGGCTTCGACTTCCCTTCTTGCCCTCGATATAGGGAGTTCTAAGTGTTGAGCTGGAGCCGCATGGGCGGCCTCGACGAGCGGGTCGGCTACTTCGTTACCAAGAATGCCCGCGTAGCCTGGGCAACATCGGATAGACACTTCACTAGGCGTCGTTTTTTGGCCGCGTGGCCTACTTTTTCCACTCTTCTGCAAGCTTGCGAATTTTTTTGCGGAGCTAGTGTTACGGGCTGTGCCCGGATTGGGACTGGTCACCAGGACCAACCCGGCTAGATCTTTAAGCGCCAACGAAGCAGCGCTTACAGAGACGCGAAAGGTTGCATGGGGAAGAATGCAAGGATACGCACGAAGGGGGATCTAAGTGCCGCATAAGGATTAATGCAAGGTTGCGCACAAGAACGAGTCTCAGTGTTGCATAAGGATAATTGCATGGTTGCGCATGAGGAAGGACCCAAGGGAGTACGTACTAAGGGGGGGAGGATGTCACAGGAAAGAGGGTAGCCGGGGAGAATGGAGTATTCTCAGGGAGGCTAGGAGGGAAGCTTAAACGCGACGCTGAGGAGGACATAAAGGACAGGAGCCGTCGTAGACAGATTAGCTTCCTAAGGAAAAATTATCAATTCCTAATGAGTTAACGTCTTTCAAGTACTTCTGAATTCTTTAAACCCATTACAGCTAGATGCTGTTGGCACATCAGAGAGAAGATGGAGGGAGGCTTCCTGGTTGTCAAGGCAAACAGCGACGTTGGTGGTATATAAAGCCAGTGAGTTGCTGAGTAATGCAGTAAGGCCTTTCGTGGCCCCGGCGATTTCAGAGTCATAGACTTCCGACGAGTTTCCGAGCGAGAGTGATCCTCGCCCGATCTTCTGCGTGAGACTTCGATAGATGACGTACCATGCACCTGCCCGGTCTTTTATGAGTGCTCCATCTGACAATACGAACAAGTCTAGGATGGATCGTGTAGCCTGCCATTGCATGAAGGGATTAGATCCCGAGAGACTACCTACTGCTCCAGTTTCTTTTAGCTTTTCTTCACGGGGTAATGACCACGGTGAGTAGATGGTGTCCTCAGAAAGTTCTGGCGAAATTCTTTGGCGGATCCAGCGCATGCGACAGATGTTCTATCGCCTACGAAGAGTGTGGTAGGGGTCAGCTGAAGCGATTCGAGCCGCTAGACGACTGTAAATTCGGGAGAGCCACGTCTGGGCTGGGACCTAGCCAGCTTCCCGCTGAAGTAATGCTATTGGCGTAGTGCGATAGACTGGGAGAGCTGCCCGAGCCGCGTCGTTCATCCTGTGTTGGACTTGTGAGATGATCTTTTCACAATCTCTTTAGAGTACCAGGTCTCGGCTCCGTAGAAAAGGGTCGCAAATGCAGCACCTTGTAGAGCTTGTCGTAGAAAGAGAGGGCTAATTCCTCGAGCCGTCGTCGAGAGTCTTTTCAAATGAATGGTGATAGCTAGTGACTTTCGGCAAGTCTGTAAGGTATGAAATTGGAACCGCAGAGCCCGGTCCAAGAAAATTCAAAGCCTGCGAGTGTGATCATTTGGCGTTATATTTGTCTCTCTAATATTTAGAGCAGGCTCTAGTGGTGAGCCCCGCTTCTGGTGAAAGTATTGAAGCTCAGTCTTAGGAAGTTCGAAACCAATTCCGTTATTTGGTCCCCATGCTATGATGCTGTCTAATTCCTCCTGGAGTTTGCGTGCAAATTTGAAAAGGGAGGACCTAGACACAAAGAAGGCAATATCATTTGCATATCCAAAGCGACCAGTAGAGAGACGAAGTGTCTCTTCCATTCTAACGTTCTTTGCTATCAGGTGTAGTTAGCGCATATGTGCTGCGGTCCGTGCTAGATATATGTAAAATACCCCATAATAAATAAGTTAGACAATTGGCTCCTTCGGCATTCCCACGGGAGCTTGAGCACGAGACAGGCCAGGCTGGATCAGCCTAACTACCATAGAAGTACATAAGCCTCGTCACAATTGAATTCCTGAACTATCTAAGACTTCATCTAGGTGTTAAATATGTCCCGTCTAACTGTCCAAAGGACCCGATTAGATTAGATTTATATTATAGTCCCTACTGAGTCTAAGACTATGGAGGACTTTGTGAATCTAACTAAAGACGATTGTTACATTTAATAAATTTTTATATTTGGAATATGCCAATATTAGTTCTCAGATTTTGAGGGTCAGGCCCATTAGAGAACGCGATGTTGCCACACCGAAACGCAATTACCTCCTCAGTCTCGGCCACCACGTACCCAAGATTCTGAAACTCTCTCAATCTCTAACCTGTTCTTTCCTTTCAATCCTAGTCATAATTCACCACAGCATCTTTTCATCTCATCGAGCGGTTATTTTCTTCATTAGATGCCTCATCCAATCGCCTACCGAGGCATCCTCAGCTTTCTCCTTATTTTTTCATTGTAGCTATCCTTATATCTCATGTCAACCTCGCCATCTTAGAAACTTTGTAGACTTTCCACCCCCTAGACTTCTCCCGTCGCCGCCGTACCCCTAACCGTGGAATCAAAATATTGGTCAAAAGGCTCAAGACCGAGGCACCGATTCCTTGGTATTTTTCGAATGCTCCATCTGAAATGCTGGCAAAATAACGTATGTATCTCGTCGGTGGCGATTCGTCGCAGGTCGAGTTGTTGGTGTCCTTGGCCGAGGTATAGGCGAAATATAAAGCCAGTTCTCCGACCATAACTTCACAGCGCACAAAATTTGCAGCGAGATGGATCTAGCTGAGAAAGATCTTCCATGAAAGTCCGAGATAGTATGTGTAGTCAGTTGTTTTAATACGAACATCGGACAGGTTTCATCCCATGTAAAATTCATATCTGGGGTGTAGGTGTTTGAATTCGTTTGGTTGTGCGATCGTGAAATCTGTGCAGGTCAGGTTTTCGACCAAAAATTTGCCAAACCTATCCTTCCCGATCGCTATCCTGATGAAAACTCTCGAATACATTCTTTTTCATGATTGAATCTTGGCTCTGATAAAATTTATCTTTCCCATGTAAGCGGTGAATTCCTTAGTCAGGTTTCTGTTGTAATTCTCCAGGCCTGGCTTTTTATGTGCTATACCGTAGTTGATGCCCCAGGGATATTTGTAGCGATCCATTGCGCTATAATCACAAAATGTGGAACCATAGATGTCACTGAGGCATATATTGGGTTTTTTCCGAGAGGAAAAATAATAGTTAGCCAATTAGTGGGTGGTACTGCTAATGTTGAAACATTCTCGAACTCTATCACACATATTCGATAAACACTGCGTGTAGCCCAAATGTTTCCAGCCGATCATCCTAATATAACTATATCTTCTATTTTATGTGCCGAACTATGGGGGAAGCTTGATAGCGTCACTTACTAGGTAAAGATTAGTTCATGCCTTGTCAGATTGGAGACAAAACATTGCGTCTAATCTACATCCTCAATTAGAAGAGAAGTAATTACTGTGCAGTGTGACGACAATTATCGCGTGCCACGGTTTAAATCTGAGCACACTTGATCACAGAGTGCACCTACCTGCTCTGACGGCTTTGCCGCCGCAATTCCCAGTGACAAGTTTCCTTATTGATTCGACCGCCGCATAAGCGAATGGAATTGTGTGCAGAGCCGCAAGGTCGGAACGTCAACCCAATTCTTTATTCTCCAGATATCATTTATCAATTACTCACAGCTTCCTCAAGCCCGACTCCTCGACTAGGATAAATTCAACTTGTATCTCAATCCATGACATGACTCGAGATACTGCTCGAATCCAAACCTATCGGGACTCCAATGATGATGGGACTTATGCAACCTTGTGGGCTTTAGCTCCCTTTCCTCGCCTCCCGGAGGATGCGCCACCAGAGCTGAAGAAGCTTACGATAGAAATAAACGATCCTAGGAGAGTTTATGCCATACACAGAGCTACTCGGAGGCATCATTTCCAACTACTTCTCGATCGGTAAATAATAAATGCAACTATTACTGCTTGTCCCAGCCTAATTTATCTCAGTTTTATCCACCAGATTAGATATGGTTGTACGTATAAGGCATGCAATGTTACGACTTGTTTCTCCTGCCGAAAGAGACTTGCAAACGGAGCTCCGGTTCGGAGATACAATTCGACTAGTTCTCGAACACTGGCTCTCCATATGATCAGCCTTGACAACCCTGAACAAGGTCTCTGCCCTCATCCACCGGCAAAAATCATCAATGAAACAAATAAACACTTAAAGCCTAAAAAGCCACAGATACTTGACGATGCCTTACCATTAATATATGACGATTTCAAGAAAAAAACAAGCTCCAATAAAGATTTCCAAGCACCAGGAAACCCAGATACCCCAAGACGCAACTTATCTTCCGAAAATGGATTGAAAGATAATATCATACCAGAGATTTCAGTGCTCGAGGGACCTACTGCAATCGATCACAGATCATTTATCCAAAATATTTATGAAACAGTTTCATTTAAGATGATAGAATGGCTAACGCCAAGTAAGCTTCAGGGCTTGGTAGAGATCCAGGCAGGGAATAAGCCGAATAAAGTTTGTAATTTAACTAGTGGGAATGAATCAGACTGTAGGAGTGTGGGCTCAACGGAGGTAGAATCTTTAACCCCGCCGACACATGATCACAAAAATGAAGATAGTAATGATATTAAATCTCTTTCAATCACCGGGAAATTTAAGGAATCGAGGCCAAGAAATGAATCAGATCCGATTCTTCCCCAAATAATGCAGCCTACACAAACGAGTCCCTATCTGCTAAAACGCAGAAACTCAGCTGATAGTTTGGGCCTTAAAGGTGCGTTGAAGCAGGCCCTCAAAGACGATTCAAAATTCAGTAAAATAACATCGCCACGCCAACGCTCTAGCGAATTCCTAAATAGGAAATCATTCAAGCCAGCTTTATTGAAGAGTCCAAAATTGCGTAGTCGCGAACAAGAATGCTCATTGGAGAATATACCTTCTAGCACTCTCATCCTAGATCATGTTGCTACGGAGAAACCAAAACTGAATTTTAAATTTAACTCAACAGATGATATTCACCTTGGAACTAGCCAGGATTCATCTATCTCAGAAGAGAGTATTGGGTTATCAACTGCTAAAGTTGAGTTACTACCTCAGTCACTAAGCTCACTCACTATTGAAACTATCGAGCTATTGTGCAATATACTTCAGACAGATGGTAACTGTGAGAAACATTCTCTGTACCCACAGACGGTCAGTGAGGCGCTTATGAGGCAACGAAATCTTCCACATCCTCCCAGCGCCCTCAAGCGAAACAAGTTGTTCCAAAATCCGCTCTTTTATCCAAACCCCGGTAAACATAAATGGAAAGCTTTCATTGAGCAAAGTTTCTTTGATGTACTTGGAAATGCACAGTCTCTCCTTCAAACCTTTAGTAATGAAAACAAAGTTCTCTTTGATAGTCAAACAATCTGGTATTTAATGCTTCGAATGACTAGAGTTGCGCCAAACTTGGTCTTCGAAAGTCTCTGGCACGTAGCTGAGACCCTATTCTCTCCTCCCCAGAAACTGAAAATGGCTTGCGATTGGGCTAAAGATTCCTCAGTTCAAAAACCATTGCTCAAGCCGGCTGTTTCAAATTATGATGCGGCACAAATCGTGAACATCTGTCTTCATGCATTGGTTGCTGCGGCACCTCTAATTGATGATCCCCGACAAATGATAAACGTGTCTCGCATCAGGTCATGTGGACTAACTAAGTCATCAAGAGAAACATCTCAGGAAGTCTTATCCTATTGTCTTCAATATGAAGATGCCTTCACCAATGAGCTAGCCGTTAGATTAGCTCGAAGGGTCTTCGCGGCTATACCAACTCGAAGAATTTTCTCCGAGTCGCTGGAGCTACAAGGTATACACCGTGAAAGACAGGAGTCCGACATTCTAGATATTATTTTAAATACGTTCGAGTTCCTAAATCCAGATACTCCTCCAATGCTTAAATTCACTGATGACGAAAGGAGCTTACATGAGAAAAGACTACCATCTGTTATCCTAGATTGGGCTCGCACAGTGATGTTACAAGAGTGGCGTGGAAGTGCTGAAGTACCGAGCGATGGACCATTTGGGGGAGCCCTTGCTACCATCGATGCTATCTATAAGAATCGCAAATCATTGCTTCTCGGCGACATCCATTTTCGCACAGATTACTTCGCAGAACGTCTCGATCCCTTTGAAATGCCTGTGGAATGGATCTCTTTTAATGCAAATAAGAAGACTGTTCACCTTCTTAATTATCCATACCTCTTTAACCCGGCAAATCTTATAACTTATTTTCGCGCCATTAACTACTCCAAGATGAGTTTGGCTTTCGAGACGGCCAAGGCTGAACTTATTCGCATGAACTATGCAATGCATGAAAACACCTTGATGACAAATAATCTAACTCGAGATAAACTTCAAGAGCGTCTCCGAACAGCCACTACTAAATTTATGGTCTTGGAAGTTCGCCGGACCCACGTCCTACTCGATACTTTCAATTCTATCTGGAGGCGTGAAGAACGTGAGCTCATGCGACCTCTAAAGTTAAGGCTTGGTGAGGAAGGGGGAGAAGAAGGCTCTGATTCCGGCGGGGTACAGCAGGAATTCTTACGGCTAGCTATTGCTGAAGCTCTCGATCCTGATTACGGTGCATTTACTACCGATACCCAAACTCGAATGACTTGGTTCCAACCAGGATCGCCAGAACCGCTATGGAAGTATGAATTAATTGGTATGATCATATCACTTGCAGTATATAATGGCCTAACTTTGCCCGTAACATTTCCAAAAGCTCTCTATAGAAAGCTTCTTTGTGAGGAAGTTACTGAACTTCATCATATAGCTGATGGCTGGCCAGATCTTACGAGAGGCTTAACATCACTTTTAGAATGGGACGAGAATGACGGGTCCATTGAAGATGTATTTGCACGTACCTATGAATTTAGTGTCGAACAGTTTGGCGTTCCAGTCAGTTGCGTAATGAAAGAGATGGATAGCAGCACACCCTCATGGCCTCAGTTCCCCTTCTTATCCGACAGTGCTTCTCCAAATTCTACAGAGGCACCATTTGTTACCAGTAAAAATCGCAATAATTACGTGAGTAGTTACATTCGCTATTTAACTGACGTGTCTGTACGGCCACAATTTGAAGCTTTCAAAACTGGCTTCTTCACTTGTATTTCTCGGCACTCTGTCTCTCTATTCAACGCGCCAACACTTCAATCTCTCATTGAAGGCATTCAAGAAATAGATGTACGTGAACTTTCAAGTTTCACACGATACATTGGCTGGGATGGTGATTCCAATCATCATACCATCAAGGATTTCTGGAGCGTTGTCATGAACTATGACCTGAGGATGAAGCGAAAGTTGCTCGAATTTGTCACAGCTAGCGACCGTGTACCAGTAGGTGGTATGCGTGGGCTACAATTTACGATTCAGAGGAATGGTATCGGAGATAGACTGTTGCCGACTAGTTATACGTGTTATGGTATTCTTCTTCTACCAGAATATAGTGTTCGAGAGATCTTAGAGCAGAGATTGGCTATGGCATTGGCAAACTCACAAGGATTTGGATTTGCTTAGAGGGTTCGCAATTGAGGGTCAAATTGGGGTTAGTGATGGGTAGGTTAGCATTTATGGTATTGTAACAAGAGCCTGCATGGAGTTTGGAGGTGTTTAAGCCTAGTGCAAGAGCGATGAAAATAAAAGCATAAGAAATTTTCTACCTTTCTTCAACTTTTTAATATTTTCATATCAAACACATTGGAAGTATAGCATTGAAGGATATCCTGCGCTTCGCTACGAGATAAGTAGGGAAATTGAGCAATGCTGCACATGGAGACATACCTAGCTGTATCATATTGATATTGGGACTGTTTGGTTTACCTGGGGTTGACAGATTTCTCGATGTCTCACAGCTATCTTCCTAACAACAGAATCAATGATGTCTAGAGCAATCAATAAGCCCAACATGACTTTGAAGTACCTCACTTGAAAATGATAATTTATACCTCACAAGATCTGATGAAATTTAATGAGTGTCTTAATCACAAGGTATTGGAATACATTTTATTTTTTGCATCAGATTTTAATTGCGTATGCAGCTATCTAGCTATGACACAATATCAAAGAAAAGTACAGAAAAGATGACTCAATTTACAAGAAGAGTACTCATGCCTTAGATTTCATTTGCAGGTACCACTGCGAAGTTGTGGTAGCTTTTTCTTCGCCCCAAGTCAACCTTCATCCGTGAATACCCACCCACGGGAACATCTCAAAAACCCTGAGTTATCCAGACATGCCTCCGTCATCCATCAACTTTTCTCCGCACGAAATTTAATCTTTGATGTCTCCTTCCCAAGTGGAGTAGGTGCCCATGCTACTCAAACCATACCAGAGAACACCACCAGAAGGCGGATCACAACACCTTCCATCGTTTGCTTGTGTTTATAGTGTTAGCTGCACTCTCGCAAGCGAAGTCTTGGCGCGCACAAAGCTCAATTCGTAAAACTCTTGCCAAATTTCAAAATGACATGCCCGACGAGTTTGTATCCTTCCTTTGCCTCATCTTGTGAACTTGTCCGAATCCCTCTTACGTCCATCCCAAAGAACTATCTCCCAGATTTGTGCGCCACGCTTTGCTTCCTCCGTCGGGTATAAATATCGGCGTGGGCGTGTATTTGGTGGTTGAGGCCAGAGAAAGTCGACGAGAGGTATGGTCATTGGGATGAGGATGTACTAGGTCGTACTTGTAGACTTGATGAGGCTTAGGTAGGATTCGATCTTTTTTGGAATGAAAATTTGACGTGGTGAAGTTTTTTGAATTTTTGCCTCGTGGGCCAACTTCTTTGATATTGCGAAATTTGACTGAACTTGGGTCTGGGAGAATATTTCACACCCAGGTTCGTAGTGGACGCCGCGTACAGGTGTTCAGTCTTGTCCTCCTTGAGTGCGCAAATCGCGCCTACTATTGCATACACGTTTGGATAGTTATGTAGTACAGCGTATCTTGGCTCATCATGGTAGATGAGAGGTGGCTGGTCATCCCTAGGTTGGACAGGCACAAGGGACTAGTGGGAATTTATCCTCTAAGGTGTATATATAAGTCCAATATTCCCATAGTTGTAAAATATCAAGCCTTCTTTATTTCATCATATTTATCCATATAATATCGCACAGAGTATATTTTCCAACAAAATACATGTCAAAAATCTGATAGCTTAGCACCTACTCAATAAGGTAATGAGAAGCATTGGATATTAGGATGACACATCTCGGATTAACTTACTCGAGCTTTGATATCTCGCCAGGGATATGATGATCAGGATGATCAGGATAGTCAAAGCTCCAACTTGAGATCTATTGAACTTCAACACACGTAATATATTTCATATGTAATTTGGGGAAACGAGAAGTTAGTCTCTCCTCGAAATGGTTTCAGATGGGTATATAGCATCACTGCTGGAGAGGAGTGGATGAGCAGAGACATCATCAATACAACTTTACATTTTTCATTTGACCCTCAGTGTCTAACAATATACGTACTCTGATCACTTGCATAACTTGATAAGAGACACTGCACAGCGAATGTAAGGCGTAGATGAATCAGATTTGAATTTATTTCCCACTGTAGTGATATGAGTTGGGTCTTATAGAAGTCCTCATCCACCAGACTGTGTTCCACTTACCTACTCTATTCTAAACGTGTCTCATTCCCCCGTATAACTGAGAAGGACTCTATCAATGACTTGAGTCATCAAAGAATGACTACTCCTTCACTTGCCAGATCGTCTCTACGACTTGTCGCTCACATTACTCGGTGAATAACAACTGACGCGTCTATCGTCCAGACAGTGCACGGCTCGTAAATATGCGAGCTGTGTAATCCGATACTGGAGGTTCCACGTTCTATCTACTAGGACATGGTCTGTTTCTCTAATAAATATACTTTTACGTTACATTTTTCATTTGACCGTCAGTGTCTAACACAAGGTCTAACACGCTACCACGATTGAGAGTTGGCATATTTGATTCAGAGATTAAAGTGATGGTGAGTCTATCCGTACACTCAATAAACGGTTCTACCAATAGACTAGTAGTTGGGGATTATGCCTGCCACCGCATGTGCCTGGGGTGTAGGTCTCCGGCGAGAAAGATTTGGTTTGAATGACTTGGAAAGGCGAGATTGAAGAGGGCTCTAACGAGCTAAACCCCATAGTTTGAGCCAGCCGGAGCTTTGTACACGTTCACTACTGAGAGGTTTTCTCTAGATGGCGCGATAATCAGCAAGAAAAGGAGATATCTCACAGCTGTGCTCATTAGAGAGAGAAGCCGTAGTTGCTTTACTTGTAGTCCAGCTCCTTTGCGTATATATGTGAGTATACGAGTCTATGATGACCAGTCATCCGTGGAGGTAAAGTACTCAATATTGGGATTAAATTTAGTGATCCAGCGCTATCGATCAGGGATGATGTAGGGCTCTTGAATGAGAGATGTCAAATCTTTCTTCATTCAAAAGGGTAAGTGCAAGCCCGTGTGAAGAGGCTCCCCTAGAGACGTTGATCTGTACTAGACACAATTGCCCTGTAGACCTGTGCCGTTGAGACTTTATCTTCAACGTATGGAATAGCGTAGCGGTTCTCAAAGAAGACTGTGGAACGCGGGAGTGAAGGTGAGGTGGTCCGAACTAGCTGGGTCAAGCTTGGGGGATCTTCCAGCATTAATAGTCCGGGAGACGTGTGAAGGGGGTCTGTTGCTTGCCTATAAGTGGGGGTTTGGTCCGAAGGGGTGTCAGTTATTTCTTCATCTACTGAAGTGTTAGTGGTATTTCCACGGGTGCAGCCTACACTGGTGCACAGGCCTATTGTTGGTATTACAGGTCACTCGAGTGATTAGGTGAAATTATCGGTTAATGTTGTATCTTTCCCTTTCTCTTCTACAGCTGTGGACAGAGGGGTATAAACTTTCAAGTAACGCTAATCATATTTAAGTTTAACCCTACAATAGCTCTATCCCCGTAACATATTCCCAGCACTGGCAAACTTTCTATTTCAAAAAGTTCTCTGACGTTTAAACCATCTACCTATATGAATATTTAATTTGTTTGAGTCCAAGAATTTCTTCAAAGCCGTATTACAAATAGATTTTGTTATAGCATCAGTAGGATTATCATCTTCATTGATCCAACGAATCTCCTGCATCTCTCGTCGTTCATAATATTGACGTAAAGCCATGATATCTATCATCAGACGCTTCTCCTTGGTTGTTCCGAGCTTGACAAAGCATTCGTACAGAGAATAAGAATCGGTGCAAATAATTATTGGAAGGAGTGACAGGCCGAATTATTTTAAAATTATATTGATTGTACTATTGATTGAATATGCCATATCCACACCTGCGACCACACTGTACATATCAGAAGCTAATACACTGCGAGTAACACGCTTACTTTTAGTACAGCTCCAGTGGATTAAACTTCCGTTTATCTCAAATTCGGTTTTTCTTGATAGCTCATTAGAAATCATAATCAGATATCCAATTTGGGAACTATAATCTTGATTATTACCGAACGAGCCGTCAACAAATACGAAAATTTTCGCAGTAGTAAGGTCAACTGGGATGTAGTCGAATCCTCGATGTTGCTTCTCTCTCTGCCAATCAAAACGTTTATTAAGCATAGCAGCTCTAGTGATGGTAGGGTCTTTGAGTTGAGCCGCTTTCGATAGATCAAATGCTGCTTCTGGTTGGCAAATCAAAGCAATGTACGCTCCGCGAGCACGTTGTTTCATACATATTTCAACGTACCTCTCATCCTTTAGATCGATTGTTGACAGATTTTCACCTTGTTTCTTTTGCCAGACAAGGACCTTATCGTTGGCTATACTGAGGATTAAACCATTGAAGTCTATAGGTTTGCCAACGGTGAGTTCTTCCTTTTCTTTAGCCTTAAATTACAGCCTTCCATAGTTTTTCATCTTTCTTAGTTGCAAACTTTGGTCAATGTTGAATGACCTAATGATTTAATGACCTTTCATGTATTATCTTATAAACGATGACTAATTATGTTGATGAGTAATGAGTTACCTGTTTAGGAATGGTGTCAGGAGAGAGGGACAACTGCTGTACATACGTGTTTCATTTAGTTAGGATGTGGGGGAATAGAAGTTATATGTTAACCACCAATTGTTATCACTGCTATAGAAAGCTTGTGATATAATACCACTCGAGTATTCCGACAGTCAACAAGCAAATATCGTGTCATCCGTTTGCATTGCTACCATTCCGAACCCATCTCTGATGGTGGAAATAAAGAAACAAGGATCGTGTGTGGATGATTGCAATTCTGGTTCCTTTTTGTGATGAGAGCTATAGGTAGCCCATCAATGTGTTCCAGCTTCAGGGACCCTGTCTAATGGTTTTCGAACGACCATAATTGCTCTCTTCGGGTATTGATGTGCAATCTCAGCAGGCAAACTTGCAATAATTATTCGATTAAGGCAGCTTGTGGACTGAGTGTATGCTTGGGAGATATCACGAAGGCAAATACTTATTTCCTGATCTTGAAGAAGCATCAGAGAAGGCGT